TAATTTCCGTTCAAAATCTTGGGCCTTATTTCACCTTGAAGAACCCAATATTGCATTTTGGACAGAAGCACAGAAAGTTTGGGAAGATGGTAATTTAAACCATTTCCTCATCTCTTAACATCTTTTAAATGAACTTTTGAAGAATATATTTACATGTCAGAATAAATCCAAAAAAGCATATTAAAAAAAAAAAAGTATACTATTACATAATTGAAGTGTATTAGAGATGTTCCTGATAGTGTGTCTAGGAAGGGGACTGATTGTCTTATTAACTGCATGTCTGCATTGATGCAGCCTTTCATTTCTACATAATGAATTCTGAATATCTTACTATTTATTTGTCTTCGTGTTGGGAAGTTTTCACTATCTGTAAATACTGAGGATTTAAATCTTTTTGTTGTTTGTAAGCATAGCACAGATTTTTGATGCTACTGGGTTAGTAATTATCTCTGGTAGATACCTGTGGAAGGGAGAGGAAAAATCACAATACCCTTACTAAGTTGGTGTTTGTTTTTTTTCCATTTCTCTTTTCCCTCTCGCTCTGTATCCATCACACCTTCAATGCAGGCACTAGTGAACATTCTACATACATTGTGCAAACCCTAGACTTTCATTTAGGCCATAACACTATGGTCACCAAACCATGTGGAGCACTCGAAAGCCCCATGGCAACAATCACAAAAATAACAAGGCGCCGCCATGAAAACCCCCCACATGGAGTTGCCAGTGTGAAGGAGTGGTTCAATTATGTTACAGCCACAAGGAATGAAGGTAAGATTCGTATCAATTACATTTTGGGATTGGTCTGCTTGTCAGTCAGTGCAGATTGTGTTAAATTTCAAGTGAGCTAAGGGGAAGAGAGCTTGAATGGAAGCTGTTTCTTCTACAGACTGTTAAAGCAAAGTGTGGAATAACAGATTATGCTGTATAGTCAGAAATGACCAGTTTATACTTTCTTGAAAAATACTTTAAAGTTATTCAGAGTATATTGTTAATTGTTTTTACACAGCCCTGTTTGGCTACATCCTGACTATTTAAGTGTATCAACAGTGACTTTTGATTGTTTGGTTTTTCTGGAGGGCTGGTTAAAGAATATGAACAACAGTTTTAGAGTGAAGTAATAACCTTTCTTAACTTTTTGCTTGTCATAAATTTTAATAACTGAAAAAATAGCCAATATAGCTAATGTTGCATGTATGCTATAGTGAAAGTATCATGACAAAGTTGGATACCTGGTTGATAGTGGTTTTTATATCAGTGCTGCCTCAGCGAATTTAGGTACCACTTGCATCCATAAGAAACATTTATTTTCAGGGTAAGTCCTGTCTTATTTTCTAACACAGATGACATGCTTTGAATCCATTGTCTGTATTTCAGTTAACTGAAAATTCATTGTTAGAACAAAGTTGTGATAAGGTGATCAGATGAATAAAACTTGATCTTTAACCATCCAAATTAATGTTTGTATGTTACAGTACTGACATATGTTTCCTCCCCTCTTCTTTATTAGAAGGTTTTTTTTCTTTCAGTATATGAAATTGCCAGTATAGAATTTTGTAAAATTTTGTCATTCTTTGTGCTGACAGAACTGTTTTTTTTTTTGTTTTGTTTTGTTTTTTTTTTAAATAAAGGTTACTGAATTAAGGTATTTTCCATTGTCTTTGTAGAGTTAAACTTACTTCGAAATGTTGATGCTAATAACCCAGAGAGCAGCACAACTGTGAAAAGCTCAAGCTTGCTAAGTGGTTTCAGAGGTGGTTCTAGTTACAACCATGAAACTGAAACCATCTTTGCATTGCCAAGGATGCAGCTGGATTTTAAATCTATTCATGTCCAAGAGCCTCAAGAGCCTTCATTACAAGGTATAGTATTGTTATTTGCTTTCCTTGATCTAAAGCTGTTTCTCATAAATAAGGGGTTAAATACAAAAATACTGTGCTGATAAGAGGATTTTTTCTAGAAATTACAGCAGACATATGCAATAAAGGACACATTTTTGTAATGAAATGCAGAGGGAATTCTGACGAGGAAGTGAAGACCTAGTCCTGATACTGGTTGCTTTCAAAACAAAGAAACAAACAAGCCAAAAAAAAAACCCATTTGCTAAGAAATGAAAATGAACATTTCAGCTAGGCTGGCTGTTCTGAGGAAGTTGGTTTATAAGCTAGAAAAGGCCTGTACTGAAAAAGGAAATAGGAGAGAAGAACCTAAATGTCATGCTTCTATTTCCAAAATATTACCTGCAGACTACAAATGGAATAGGGGGAAATGCCTGCTCTGTAACAGCAGTGTAATTTACAGATCATTTGTATTAAAATTCAGTATACTTTTATGCAATATGTACTTAAAATGTATTAATGCTATTTTGATCCAACTGTAGATACAAGCGTTAAACCAAAGGTGGAATGCAGTGTGGTAACTGAATTTACAGACCATATCTGTGTAACTATGGATGCTGAATTGATCATGTTTCTGCATGACTTGGTGTCAGCTTATCTAAAAGAAAAAGAAAAAGGTAAGCTATTAGTATCTGAGGTATGTGAGATAACACTAGTCAAACAATTACATACTGATTGACAATAAATATTGTTGAGATCTGAAATCTGGGCTTAGTGCTATGAGATGATAGCTACCTCTTTAAATTGCTGACAAGTGAAATTTAACTTTACATTAACCAAATTCTCTTGTTCTATTTTGGGGAGGGGAGTTTAAAGCCAAGAGGTGTTCTAGCACCTAGCAAAAAGTGCAGCGTTGCATGGGAACCATTTCAGCTGACTTGAAGTCCTAGAGGACTGGAAGCAGAGCAGTTGCCTACAGATGGTAGAAATAGCATACTACCATGTCTCTGCTGTTCAGGGCATTCTGCTCCTGTTACCTAAAGCATTTCTAAATTCAGTCCTAATTCAGATATTTGTATCTATTTTATTCTTTGTGCTGTTTGGAGGTGGAAAGGGCTGCTGTTCTTTTTCTGTGTTCTAGGATTTAAACTCGGGGAAGAGCTGGGTTCAGGTTCCTCTCACGCCCTTGGGCAAAGATGGATTTTAATTAATCTCCTACCATCCTCCTGCTCAGAATATGCTGTCAATTAAAAAAAATTAAAAACTAAGTATGTGTTTGCATGTAGCTTATGGAATGCAATATGTTTTGTTGTGTGCCATGATGAGTTTGAAAGAAATACTCTGTATATGGATGGGTTGGGTGGCAGAGGAAACAATTCCACATTCCTGTACCACCCACTAATGTTTAAGTTTTCCTTATGGTATGTTTTATTTATGCTTTGTTGAAACCAGAACTGTTGCTAGAAATTCAGAAGTTCTTACAGATCAAGGTGAAACACAAGATGGTTTTCTCTTGTTGGAAACGCGCTCTGGAATTTCTTTTAAGAGATGAGATGCTCAAACTGACTGGTTGCTTTTTTTTTTCTGCCCCTTTCCATTTTGTAGCTATTTTTCCTCCTCGCATTTTGGCTTCTCGTCCAGGGCAGAAAAACTCTGCTGGTGTACTGGAGGACAGCTCCACGGAGAGAGAAGCAGAGGAAAGCATTACTTACACTACAGTTGACTGGAGAGAATTTATCTGCAATACTTGGCATTTGGAGCCCACACTCAGGTAACAAGCAGACTTAGCAGTAATCTCTTTGTCTATGCGTTTTATTTATGGGTACTGTCCTTCACACCACAAGTGTTTCCATACTGTTCAGCTGCTATGGATCAATTACATGGATGCTGTAATAGTTTTATCTTTGGCTATTAGTGCTGGTCTGGAAGGTGAGATGCATGTTAATGCTAAATGCAGATAGTTCCAGAAAGCTAGTTGCAATCTATACCTGAGATTGAGTCCACCTACTATTGTTTTTCTTAGATTTTTTCTTTTTTTTTCTTTTTTTTTTAAGATTAATATCCTGGACTGGGAGAAAAATTGACCCTGTTGGTGTTGACTACATCCTCCAAAAACTGGGCTTCCATCACGCCAGGACTACCATCCCCAAGTGGCTGCAGCGTGGGGTGATGGATCCTTTGGACAAGGTTCTGTCAGTTCTGATAAAGAAACTCGGTACTGCGCTACAGGACGAAAAGGAAAAGAAAGGAAAAGACAAAGAGGAGTACTGAAGCGATAATGTGACAACCACCATTCCGTTTGATTTTTATCAAAGTGTTTTACTACAAGGTTTATATATGGTTTAAAGAGAAACCTAACAGCATTTTGCTACTCTATTTAGAACTTACATTGTGAGTAACTGTTTACTGTGGTACTTGATACCATTCTGTATTGGAAGTATTGCATGGTTACGACCAATGTATATTCTGTGAAGGAACACCCAAACACTGGCAGTCGCTTCTCAGCACCCACTGGTTTATTCTGTGCAATATGATTCCTGCATCTTTGAAATATTGCAGATTTACTGTGAATTTTATTAAACTTCTTTTGCCATAACACAGCCCCTTTGTTGATGTGACTGGTAATCGAGTTGTCAATGTAGACTTGTGTAAATTTATATATATATATAACTTATGAAACTGTGATCGCCTTAGTGCTAAAAATCTTTAAGTTTATTACACTTGTAATAAAATTTAACTATTGTACAGGGTTTTGTTTTTTTTTTTTGTTCAACTTCTTTGATTAAAAAAGTGTTTTAAGTGTAAAGCTGCATCCAGTCTCCTTTAAGGCGGTTACCCCGCTGTCGACGAAAACGCCTACCGCCTCGCAGTTGCGGGCCGCGGCTGCGCATTGTGGGCGCCGCCCTGCGCGCGGGGACGCAGGGCGCGGAGCGAGGCCCCTCCTCGCGCCGAGCCGTTGAGCGCCCTTTTTCCTCGCGCCTCGGCACGTGGCGACCATTGAGGGGCCGTGAGGTGCTGGCTGCTCGAGCTCTCGTAGCGTCGGCCGTGCTGGCTCTGGAGGCGGCGGCGTGGTGGTTGAGGTCCACGTGCCGGTGCTTCCCGGTCGGCAGGGTCTTCAGCATCTGGCACAGTTCCTGTTGAGCTCCGTCAGGTTGATCGGGGATGGCCGCCAGCAGTGAGAGCATGCAGAGGGCTGGGTCGGCTGTCTGTGAGCCCGCAGAGGAGAAGGCTGTGCTGGTGCAGGCTCCCGCCCGGCTGCAGAGCCCCGCGGCTGCAAGGCTCGGGCTCGCGCCTTCCCAGGGCCGGCACGGACCGAGCGCCCTGAAGACGAGAGAAAACCCAGGTATAGCTTTCAGTTCGTTCTTGGGACTGGCTGTGTAAACGAGCTGTTAGTGCTGCTGAAGGAAACTCGTGTGGCTTTGGCACTATGCTAGGTTTCCTTGTCAGTGCGTTTTCTCTAGCGCCGAGAGCTGTCTACAAAGCATTTCTTTTAACCAAACAAACTGTTGAGGAGAGCGTTCAGTTTTTTCTTGTGCTGACTCCTCGGTCTCGTTGCAGCGAAGTCCTTGCCTCGCCCAGCCCGCCCGTCCCCAGAGCCAGCAGTGGTGCAGGACGCGTGGCTGGCAGACTTCGTTGCGGGGTACCAGAAGGGCGCAGTTCACCCCGTGTCAGCCCTGCACTGCTTTGCACAGAGGTACAGCATGCAGCTTGATTTTAAAGAGACCGGTGTGGCAGGTAAATGCTTCTTTCTTTACATACAGTTGTGTTTGAGATGATTCGATTTCTTGGGCTGGCATTGATGCCAGTAACACAAGTTACTTATTTATTTTTTAATGTTGGTTTCACTCTCCTCACATGAGCATTTTTTTTCCCTGGAAAGTGATTGCCTTTTTCATTCTCGTGGCTGCTTGCTGCCCTTTTGGAGCTGTTGTGCTTTGATCAGAATCTGCTTCTAGCTTCCTGAGCTTCCTCATGACTGCCGTGTTCCCAGTTTTGTGTGTTGTTTTTTTTCTTCCTGTAGAAGCAGTTGTTCTCCTTTGGAGTGCAGCTTTCTGTTTGCTGCCCTGGAACTTTTTTTATTTTTTATTTTGTGTAGGGGGCAGAGTCAGCAAACCTGAGCATTCCTGCAATTCCTCTGTAAGAGAAATTGTCCTTTTATTACATGCATTCCAGTTTGGGCTGCGTTCCGAGCAGGGCTGCATATAACGTTCTGAGCAAGGTTTCTGTGCAGTAGTCTGAATGCCTGCTCGCCTTAGTGGATGATTGCATGATGTGGGCAGAACTTTTACTCGTTTATCTTAGAATTTATCAGCTGATGATTTGGAGGAGGGCCCGCCCGATTTTTTTCATGAGGAATTCCATTATTCTGCTGAAGAGCTGTAAGTTGAATCAGATGTAGTATGCTGTTGTATTCCAGTTTCTGTGAGTCTAATCCTTTCATTCAAAATTTACTACAAATAATTGTGTATTGTGGCTAAACAGCAGTCTTTTTCCTCATTTCAGGTGTTTCAGTGTTCCCTCTATCAAGCAGAGGTTCCATATTAGCAAGTTATCTGATAACTTTCCTGAGCTGAAATGTTATTTTTTTCTGCTGCTTTTTTTTGCCCTGGTATAGTTCCTTTTTAATATTTATCCCTCTCATACCATGTGGTAGATATGCCGCTTTGTTACATTACATAGGGCTTTTTCCTCATTATTTTAATATTGCTTAAGATGAATATTACTTAACGTGCATCTATTTCTGGGATTTTTGTCCCAACTCTTCTTTGTTTTTCTTGTTCTCAAATCTTCAGAAAGGTGACAGGAGAGAGGTCTGGATAGGGATAAGCTCTTTTCTCCCAGTCTTTACTGCTGTTACAGAGGTTTCTCACAGTTGCCATAGTCAAAATTTTCTGTGAATTCAGGCTGACTTTACAAGGTACCTCATCAGTACGGAAAAGTTAGCCATTGGAGAGATTGAAGGCTCTGCTCTGTAAATGTATTCCGATCTGCTCCCTTATTATTATTATTATTAAGCTATTTTATCTTGCTCTCTGTAGGCATAAGATTACTTCTTTTAAATGCATGTCTTCTCTGAAATGCAAATAATTAATAAACTTACTGGGTTGCATTCAGTTTCTTCCCTTGCTGGGCATAGTTCTGTCACAGGTTGCCTTGCTTTAATTAAAGAGGGCCTTTGTTGCCCCTGTCAGTCGTTGTTTGACCAGCTGATGATGATGGGTTGCTTGCCATGCCTGCTGACACTTGGAACTGGTGTGGTGGTTTTGCCAGGCAGTTCGGAAAACGTGGTGTTCTGTTAATACTTGTTAGAGCTGGAAGAGAGCTTTATGAGAAGTTCAGCGAATGAAAACTGTCAGGATACTTGTGGAGGTGAAAGGTATTTTGTTACAATCATCTTTTCATCTTGTAGTGATGCTTGAAGTCAATCTAAGTGCATAAAGCTATGGAAAAGAATATGTTCTTTAGTGTTACTAATCGTGATTCTCTTTTTCTCCTTAAAAGGACACGCCATAAGTCCTTATTTTGGCATTAGTGCTGTGTTGGATGGTGTTTACTACAAGACTGGATTAGGAAGAAGCAAGAAGGAGTCTAAGCAGAATGCAGCTAAATTGGCTCTTGATGAGCTACTGAAGTTGGAGTATATGGTGGCACCAGCTTCTGGAAAGTCAAGTAAATATTCAAGCAGTACCTGAGCAGAACTTCAAAAGATTTGCTTAGAGCTTTTCTACCTAAAATCCCTGTGTAGCTTTGTGAAATGCTTTGGTGTTACAACCTCTGTCAGTTTTGAGTCCTTTTGGAAGTTATTTGTTGTTTAGTTTTGAAATTCTTTGTCTCCTCTGTACTATGAGTTGCAACAGTTTTTTGGCTCAGAATGGAGAACTGCAGAAGGAATTAATTTATCTGTTGCACTTGATTTACTAATTGCTAGATTGCAGCAGTATCAAGTTGTTCTGAGTATGTTTGAATTTTTATAATTATGTCCTTGGCTTTGTGTTACTACTTGCAAAAGAATGAAGTTACCATAATGTTTACCTTTATTTAAGGATTGTTGCTTAAATAACTATTCTTATAGGGACTCCAGAAAAAAATCTCTAATTCTTAAAGAATTAGAAGGTTAAATGTGTTGAAAATAGTGTTTGATGGGTGTTTTGAAATTTGTATTGTTGACACCTATTGGAGGTTGTCTTGAATCCTCAGGTCCTCCCCGTATTCTGGTTGAGCCTGAAACTCCAGCAAGCTCTATTGATGTTTCAAGGATCAGTTTTGGTAAGGAGTAATCTTGTTTAGCTGTGTGATCTGAATCTATAAAGAAAATACTTTATTTTTGTTTAATGCTTCTTTTAAAACGCTTTGTGATCTGTATGAAGGTTCTATTATTTTATATGTGTTGTCTTCAAAGAATGCTGGAAGAATTGGTCACTTAAGTAGCACATGGATGAATGCTGACAGACACAACTCAAGTGAATTTCTTCAACTAAAATCTTGAATCAGAGATAGGAATAGATAAAGCCTTGCTGTCCTTCTTTGAACTATCGTGTCTGATAAACTTGGTCTGTGTTCCTACTTTACCTTGAATAGTAAAGCCATGAAGTGTTAGCAGTATTCTTGTTTATTCACATCCATCCTTGTAATTGTCAGAGGCACAAGTGGTGCTAGTGCTTTTACCATGTCTGTAAATTTATTATCTGCTCAGTGCTTGATTCTGTCTGTTTTTCCCTCTGCACATTTGTGTCTTGCTGGCTTTTATTGTTCTGTTTAGAAGGACGACACCATATATATCAGAAATTTTCGCAGACAGTTGAAGGAGTGTTTAATAGCCTGACTGCTGAAAATCCTGAGTACCAAAGCTGTGGCAGTTCACTGGCTGCCTTCATCATTGAGAAAGGCAAGTCAGTTTTGATATGGGATTCTGGGGCTTGAGCAGTCTAGCCTGTGTTCCCTAGGAGCCTTGATTCAATGTGTTTCTGATCTTGCATATAAGCAGTAGCTGCTCTTCTTTGTCATACTCTTTATTGGTGGCTTCATCATAAATATTCAGTGTGTTTCAATATGCTGTCTTAAAGAGGAATTGGACTAAAATCTCAAAGGTTGGAAAAGGTCTCTAAGATCATCCAATCTGACTGACCATCACCACCAGTATTTCCCACTAAACCTTGTCCCTCAGTACAACATCAAAATGTTTCTTGAAGCCCCTGGGGATGGTGATTCCACCACCTCCCTGGGCAGACTGTGCCAGAGATTGATGACTCTCTCAGAGACGTATTTCCTAACATCCAACACCCATCTTGCCAAAACCTTCATTCAGGCAGTTGTAGAGAGCTATAAAGTCACCCCTGAGCCTCCTGTTCTCCAGTCTAAATAATCCCAGCTCCTTCAGCTGCTCCTTTTAAAAGTTGTGCTCCAGACCTCTCACCATCTTTGTTGCCCTTCTCTGGACACACTCCAGGGCTTCAGTATCTTTCTTGTTGTAACGGGCCCAAAACTGAACACGGTATTCAAGGTGTGGCCTCATCAGTGCTGAGTACAGAGGGATGATCACCTCCCTGCTTCTGCTGGCCATGCTCTAATACAAGCCAGGATGCCATTGGCCAGCTGGGCACACTGCTAGCTTGTGTTCAGCCGAGCATTGACCAACACCCCCAGGTCCATTTCCTCTACACAGTCTTCCTACTGCCCTGCCCCACGCCTGTAGCGTTGCCTGGAGTTGTTTTGGCCAAAGTGCAGGCCAGCACTTGGTCTTGTTGATCTTCATCCCATTTGACACAGCTCAGCAGTCCAGCCTGTCCAGATCATTCTGTAGGGCCTTCCTATCCCTAGGTAGCATCCCTAGGTAGTACTTACTGTTTAGTTTAACTTTGTGTTTTGACTGACTGACCATTGTGTTTTATTGCATGTTACGTTTTCTTTTTAGGTGGAGAGCATAAAGTCGTAGCTCTAGGAACAGGAGACTGTAATTACAGCAATGATTATTCACCTGAGGGAAGAGTGGTGCACGACAGCCATGCCATCGTTACTGCACGACGTTCTCTTCTTCGGTGAGATTCTGTGTACACGTTACCACTACTTTTGTAGCCAGTTCTTAGTTTTACTTCTCTGAGAGTAAATACAAGTACATTTGCATTTATTTAGTGTGTCCCTTTGAGATTATTTTTGAGTCAATGTAAATGAAATGTGAATGGTCACGTATTTTTAAACAATTTAGTATCTCTCATGCCTGTTGTCACCGCTTCATTTTAGATATTTTTATCGACATCTTTTGCTGTTCTATAATGAAAATCCAGCACACAGAGAGCAATCCCTGTTTTGCACAGCACCTGACTCGAAGCTGCTTACCCTAAAGCGGAATATAAATATCTATCTCTATATGAATCAGCTGCCAAAAGGATCTGCTCAGATAAAAACACAGTTGTAAGTACCCAGGTATTCTCAGAGGTATTGTAATGGAAAGTTGATTAGTTTCAGTGACCACCATGAGTGTGAAAAATACTCATTGTTACATGTTTACAAATAGTGGGGAAGCCTCTGCTGAATTTTTTCGTGTTTTGGAAGCGTTAGTGTACAAAGTGGTTGTGGTAAGCATAACGTGTTGGTACACAAAACTTGTATGTAGGTTGTGATTTCAGATTGTTACTTTATTACAGATTATCTGATTGTCTATTGACCTCTACTCTGAGATGGTGTTAATTTCCACATTGAGAAAGCAAATGTGGTGGCTTAATGTCGTCCTTTGCACCACAGGGCTAGGCTGTAGTCTTGAATTGTGTATGCTATGGGAAGTGCACAAAGTTGTTCTGCTTTGTGGGGGGGTGGGAAGGGGTAATGAGCACTCTTGATGAGGCACATAGACTCCTGTGCTTGCCTCCATTCTTTCTAACTTTTGTTACATTCTTGAAATTTTAATAGTTTTGAGATTTAACTGAAGCAGTCAATGACTTAACAGAGTTGTTCTGAGCAGTATTATTTTGTTGTCTCTAGCACTAGTATGGTGGTTTACCTCCTTCAAACTTACACAGTCAAACTTCTTCATACGTGCAAGACAGCTCACTTCTTCTATACTGTGTTTTGGTGTTCAGAAAACAATTTGCAGGCTGGAAGTCGCAGCCAGTTCACACCCAGTTGTGATGACTGGGGGAGCTTCTCCCACTAGAATTGCTGAAGATTTTAGGTATAACTTTTTCTGTATCATAACCTGTTCTTAGAAGTACTAATTAATGAATCTGGATGCAGTTTGCCAGCTACTTTGTAGTGATTGATTGATCACGTATTCTGTGTTATTTTTTTCTCTTTTTGTCTGGTCTGGTCAAAGAGACAAACTCTGGAAAATGCTTTCTTCTGATACAGCAGATTGGCTTATGTATCAAGTGAGTTAATTTAAGGATAGGTTTTTAGAAGGAAGTTACTTATTTAGAAGTGATTGGCTGTTTGTGGAGAAACAGCACTTTATAATAATTTTCGAGTACTTCCTCACTGAGATTTCTTTTTCTGTCTTACTTTAGATGTCTTAATCCACATTCTGTAACTGCTTGCCAAGCTGCTGAAGAGCTGTGTCTCCATGTTGCTATAGAAGGCAAAGTTTATCTTTCTCTTTCTTGTCCTTCTAAAACTGTGAGAGTAATCAGTATGTCAGCTAGTGACAAGTTAACAAAATGGGAAGTGGTTGGTGTTCAGGGAGCGCTGCTGAGTTACTTCATTGAACCAGTGTATATCAACACTATTCTTGTAGGTAAGCTTAATAAACTTCAGTCTTTTTTCCATGTTTTCATCTTCAAGTTTGATTATATTTTATAATGAAATTAAAATAGTGAACTGAATGAAAACTGAAGTTTGGGCACTTACTTAAAAGAAGTGATACAAAGCTTCTCAGGTTCACTTAAGCATTGTTCAAAGTAAATAGTAATAAATCTATGATGTTAAATAGAAGAGTAATGTATTATATGAATATTCCTTGAAGATGCTGAGGACCAAAGTGTATTTATTTGGAAGATATTTTATGACTGTTCCTTGAGAAGCAACAGACCAAAGTAAATTCATTTAAGTAGTCAGTGAAAGTGTGTAATGGAAATGTGCAGTTTGATAGTTTCTGGTGTAAAAGCCTGAGAACTTTTCTTGAGTAAGAAATGTTTCAGTATGAACAAACGTTGTGTAAATTCACTGGGCTGTTTACTAATCTAGAACATCGAAGTTCTGTTTTCATGGTGTCCTGGTGAAAAGTTACAGAATGGTTACCACTTTGGAAAGGAGATGTCCAATGAAAATCACGGCGCTTCTGAAAGAAGAGAAAAAAAGCTTTGCAAAACAAAAATACTGGAACTGATTTTTCAAGTGAAATCTTTTGGGGAAAAAATGAATGTTCCAATGACCAATGGAAACAGATGGGTTCTTGGCTGTTTTATTGATTTATTTTTTGTTTGTTGATGTAATTACACGTGACTGGCTTTGTTTGTACTAGGAAATGGAAATTGCAGGAGTTTGAAGGGGTTAGAAATAGCTATAAGACAACGTATTGACGATGCGCTCACAGCAAAGCTTCCAGTGCTTTACGTGGTCAACAGATCGTTTACTTACTTGGTGAACACCGTACAACCAATTCAAGTGGATGTGAAACAGAGGTCTCTCAGTTTGAATTGGATGTTGTCAGATGTGCAGCTGGAAGTTGTGGATGGGCTAAATGGAAAAGTCACTGAAAGGTCAGATTTTTTTCTTTATTCCTTACATTGAAAATGCTTAGCCTGTTGTGTGCATTTGAATATTGAGCTTTTAAGTTGCATGTAAAGGCCACAGTATAATTCAAATGAGAGGGATTCTTTCTTGTACTAAATGTATGCATCCTGTATTTAGACACAGTTTTAGAGATCTTTCAGTGACGTACCAAAATGTGAAATAAAATATTACATGTTCTAGTGATTGCTTTACTTTTCAAAATACTACCAAAGAGTTCAGATGAGTTCCAGTTTGAAAACTGTTCTTGGTCTTCTTATTTTATAGTTCTCTCAGCTGCTGACTTGTATCAACTCTGCTCATTCAGAGCAGAAGCAACATCACGTGATCAAATTCACAAAGCACTGGCGCAAAAAAACCCACCATGTAATGATCAAGGCAATATACCTGTAGTGTATTTCTTACTGAGATTTACTGTGCTCTTTGTTATTTTACCTATAGTTCACCATTTAAAAGTGGCTCTTCCATGGCAAGCCGCCTTTGTAAGGCAGCAATGCTGAGTCGTTTCAAATGCCTGGCTCGGCGAGCAAAACGAACTGACCTGCTTCATGTTGCTACGTACCATGAAGCTAAGGTAAGCTGCAAAGGGAGAAGAAATAAAGGAGGTCTCTTGATGGCTGCTCTCAAAACCAGTTCAGTTGGCTGCGGTGACTTTCTGTATTGCTTTCTAGATTTGCATGAGCAGGTGGATTCCATTATTACCTTGTAATTTTTACCTGGGCATCTCTGAAATTGCTGTTTTTAAGTAAAATCAGTCCACTGTATCAGTCTTGACACGCTTCCTATTAAAAACTTCTGTACTTTGGCTAAAGACTAAACATTTTTCTCACAGTAGGGCTAGTTTCATGCAGGAAAATTCTTTTTTTTTTTTTTTTAAATCACAGCTTTATATTCAATTCATACATAGATAATTTTTCTACCATGAAGTATTTTTGTGGGAGAATTGGAAATTATATTGAACTTTTTGAAAGCTTTTTTTTTTTTTTTTTTTTTTTACTTTTCAGAATATTCTGCAAGTGTTTTTTTTGCACATGTGCTGTTTTTTTTCTAATAAAGATTTTTTAAAAACTACTTTAAAGCAGACCGGCTTGTGAATTGACTGCATGTTCATGTATACTTAGAGTTGCATTGGGCGACATATTGATTGACATAGGATTGACTTGTTTTCTGTCTTAAAGATATTATTGGGTCTGAAGAGATGTCACAAAACATGCATGTTGTATTTAACAGAGGAGTTCTCCCGTTCCAGTGAATGACTGAATGTACAAAAATAGCATGTTTTTTGATTCTAGGACGTTTTCCATCCTGTCAGCAATGAACAGAACTGTAAAATTTATAGGCTTTGCTTTCAGCAAGGCTTGTTCTTATGCATATTATATGATAGCATTGAAGAATGCAGATTACTGTAATCATTATACTTGAGATCTTTCAAGATCCTACCTTTTCTCTTCCAGGTCAAGTCTAATTTGTATCAGGAAGCTAAAAAGTTGCTGCACAGCTACTTAGAGCAACATGGTTATGGATCCTGGATTGTGAAGTCTCCGCATATTGAACAGTTCACTGAATGATTGCAAGATGGATTGTGTGTGGAGTCCGTTTTCTTTTGGTAAAATGAGATACTAAGTAGTAGAAATTTTAGCTGTTAGTCAAGCATTTAACTGTTGGGTTCATGTTCGCGGTGAGAAAATTGTTGAGCATGTGCGTCCAACCTGCTAGTTTTATAATTTTGTTGCCCACTTTTTTTTTCTTGTTTAATAAAAAACGCAGTTTTGTTACTTACATTTACTATGTTATGTATCTTACATGCAACAAGAGAGGTGATTTTTTTCACACTGTGGCCCAGGCAAGATAAAAGGTTGGACACCCGCTGCATCTGCATGTTGTAGAGCTTCCAACTTACTTGTAGTTATTAAACTGGCTGTAACAGTGAAGTTTTTTCACAGGTAGGAGTATGTAGCAGCGTTGCATGTCTGTTTTGTTTTGCCTTCCAGCATCACCTCATTCCCTCCCTACAATACAGAGTCACTTATGTGCTTAAGTTCCTGCTAGTTGACTGTGCCTCAAACTTTTTGTATGCCTTTTTCATAACTCTTTTTTGGGGGGAAATCAGTAAAAGTAGGATTTCTGTAATAAATAGATAATTGTTCCTGTGTATTACTTTTGGAAAGCAGTATTGACTGTCTGTGCTTTAGCTGGAGGTGTCTTCTGTTAGATACGATTTTTGTTTAGTATGGGTTCATCACGTGGCTTGTAATTCACTACGTGCTGTTTGTGGTCTTTGTATTTCAAAAAGTGAAACTGAATTATCAAGCTGTTACTCACCTGTTTTGTGACGAGCTGTGACACTCTTCACCAGTGAGTTTAAATCATCATAAAGATTTCAAAACTGTAAATAAAAATAGTATGATGTAGAAGTCAGCAGTAACGAGGTTCCTTCAGTTTTTGGAGCTCCCTTAACAGCTGTCAGATGTGATTGTTGGACACCTTCTCCCACAGAGTACTTAATTGGTGTACTTGTTCATCCTTCCAAAATTGTTTCTGTATGGAATGGTCTGAAAAGTGTTGCTTATTGAGAGGGAAATTGCTTCCTTGTAAATTACCATAATATTACAGTGACAATTTGGTAATGTTTGGGTGTTAACCATCATCGGGTTTTTTTCAGACTGTTTTGTGTGTTGTGAAATACTCGTGTATTGATGCTAGATTCTGTGCTGTTTGTGTTTCTTGATTTTTGTATTTCATACAAATTTGGGAAGCTGTTATGTCAAGTTCCTGTATATCAGTAATAGTTGAATTTTTTGTTTCTTATTGTAAGATGATTATAAAACAAGATTTGACAGTGTTTTTTCCTTGCATGGCTTTTTTTTAACTAGCAAGTTTAATCTTCACTACAGACAACCTTACAGCAAAGTTGTTGTTTTCATGATACTAAAACTATTTTACATATTCTTGACAGTCTGTTAGTGTTTTATGTACTTCTGGACAGTTTTTGTTTATGGTTTTAGACCTTTGGGACATGACCGAGGTGTTTAATGCTATCAAGCTAGAAGTCTTAAATATGAACAATTAACTTCATTTTCTTTGTGTACTTGAGGCATTTTATTAATTGAATAGCAAACTAAAACTTCTCTGAAACTGTTTTTTCAAGGAGAGAAGTTCTTTTGTGAATGAGATCTGGTAATCTGTGTATGATAGCTGTATCCTTGAGGCATCACTTGATTACAACAGCTGGACTCAGTTGTTTTTTTTTTTAATTGAGACTGTTTGTTAATGAATTAGGAGTAAATGAGCAATGCATTCAGGTAGTAAATTGGTGCATATGCTGTTAACAGTTTTTCTCACCTACTTACATAGTTTCAAAAGCACTTGGAAAAGTGTGGCATATTTTGGAACTATTTCTGTTAAGAGAAAACAGGTCCTGATATATCTAAGCATATGTCCAAACTCCTGAGAGGCAAGATTGCTGTTGCTCCCCTTGGCATCAGGCTGAAGGGGCATTCCTGTCAGGCACATGCATGCAGAGCGTGTGGGTACACCCCCATAGCCAGTCCCAGAGCTTAAAGACCAGCAGGTGAGGGTACTCTTATGAAGGCAGCACCACTGCCCTGTGGTTAAGAGCTCAGCTGCTGCTCTCTCTGGCTCAGCACAACGGAGATTTCTGATTAGAACGTGTCTCTGTGCAAGGTGGAGTCCTCCAGCAACTGGGCTGAACCGTGTTTGCTCAGTAGCTGTCTGTTGTTTCTGAACCTGGAAATAAAAGCCTCGGAGGCTAGAGCCCTGGGCCAGTTTCTGGTATGGGCTGATGCATGCAGTCGAAGGCCAGGCCTCTACTTCCTAGCCCCTCTGAGATCTCACCTGTAGAGATACACGATCATACAGCTGACTCAGACTCCCATACTCCATAGCTCTTGACCCTAGAGCCGTGGTGGTGTTCTTATATCCAGAATTGCCCTTAGAGCCCCACTCGGAACCCTCTTGCTCCCAAGCCTCTTTGCCTACTCATCAGATTATTCTGTTTGTTTATTGCTGGTGATCATGGCGTTAGTTGCTCTCTGTGCACAGTGGCACTCTTGACTACATTAGCACTTAGAGCCCTGTACGTGTACATACAGACAGAAGAGAGGAATGTGTTAGCAAGGAATTTTATGGGATTGGACAAGACCAAACCAGGCAGGTGTGCTGACTAGCATGCTATTTAAATGACCAGTCCTTTATATCTCCTTATCTCTCAGTTTTGCACACTCATCTTCTCCAGGTCAGCTAAACACCTCTGCTTCTTCCTTCTAAGCATCCTGTTATTAAGTCCTGGGCAATCCTCAAATGCTCATGTCCTTCATCCCAGTAATGGGTCCCATCCCCTAGATCAGGTGTGTCCAACCCACAGCCCGCCGTCTGCCCTGTGCTGACATGGCAGTGGCTCTTCCCCACTGAGGCCTGGTCTGGCTCTGAGAACACTTCCCTCTCAGGTGTGTTATTAGTACTGTTTTGGTTGAAATTAGCACAAGGGTGGGGGAGCACAGCATGCTGTTAACTCAAGTTACGGCAAATAATTTAATGCATTTTAATATACTGGCTAAACACAGTCCTGTGAACAGTGAAGAATATGCATCCATGCTTTCCATTTTGGTAGAAGAATTTCAGAATAGGCTTCAAGGTGACTGAAAAAAATAGCTTTTTTTTTCCCTGTATATTTGCAACTCCATTTTCAGTTGATGTAAATGCATTACCTGCAAATTTTCAAATGTTGCAATTGAATGTTCAACTGCAAGATCATGTCTCTTTGCCAGATTTTTATAGGATCTGTCTTACCAGAGAAAAATATCCCATGTTTCGGTGTCCCATCTTATTCATGTTGTTGCTTTTTGACAGTACGTACATTTGTAAGCTAGTGTTTTCAAGGATGAAGTACAAGAAGAGTAAAATTTCATTTACAAATCACTAATGAAAGCTTTGATAAGTTACTAATAATTGCACCCACTTCTCTTGAATCAGGCATTTATGCAGCAGTTTCACAAAAAATGAGGACAAATTATCCCACTAGTGTTATGGTTTTAATTAAAAAAAAAAAAAAAAAAAGTTAGTTATATACATGAACTGCATTAAGTATTTTATATGAGGCTCAAGATAATTGCTCTTCATTCACTGTGACCCAGGCAAGCCAAAATGTCGGACACCCGTGGGTTGGAGAATGGATGAGCTTGAATGTGCAGCAAAGTGTTGCACCTAGGATAGAGCAATGCCAGACATGGGCTCACATGGGAGACAGGTGGCTGGAGCAGTTCAGCTGAGCGGGTGTGGGGATGCTGGTGCCACCATGAGCCAGCGGTGTGTCCTGGCAGCCAAGGAGACAGAGTTGTGACGTGCATTAAGCACAGCATAATCAGTTGAAAGAGGTGATTCCCCTGCAGTATTTAGTACTGACGTGGCCTCACCTTGAATATTATGTGCAGTTCTAGGTTCCATAATATTAAAAGGATGTTAAGGTCCCTGAAAGCATCTGGAGGATGGCAACAAAACTGAAAGCATGTCCGATGAGGAGAGGCTGAGGATACTGGGTTTGTCAGCTCTGGAGGAGGCTGTGAAGCAAGCTCACTGCTCTCTGCAGCTCTCTGAGGAGGGAAAATGGAGGGAGGTGCTGGGCTTTGCTCCTGGGTACCAATGGCAGGATGCACTGGCGAGGTTCAGACTGAACATTAGGAAACATTTCTTTATTTTGAGGGTCATCAAACTCAGGAACGAACTTCCCAGAGAGGTGTTAGTTGCCCCATACCTGTCAGCATTGAAATGTTTGAACAGTGCCTTCAGTGATAGGCTTTAAGTTTCTGCTTATCCCAAAAGAGGTCAGGAAGTTGGACTAGGTTATCTTTGTCGTCCTCTTCAACTGAACTAAACTATTGTGCTGTATATACTTTTTAGGAAATTTGCAGTCATGAAATATCGCAATAAAAGTAAGAATCTAGGAGGCCTCATGAGTACAAGCATTTGCAACACAGCTTTTCTTCTACAGCTACCTTAACCAGCTGTGTGTTTCAGCAATCTTTATAGTGAAGTAGATACTTCTCTGAAAATGTGACTTGAACGTGGAAATGCTAGATAGGGGTCAGGCCACTCAGAAAATGTAGTTTTGGAAATCCACAGCAGAGCATGGCTACTGTACAGAAATGATGTTACAGTCCCCAGAACTAACTCCAGTTACCAAAACTGCCATTTTCCAAGACTATAAGCAACCTTCACTTCTCAACTGCTGCCTGACTCCAAAGCAGTTTTTGTGCAGACAAAAAAACAATGAAAACTTGTTTATAGTTTCATGTTGTATGTGTTTCGTTCCTAAAATTGTTGATGATTCCATCTTCCTTAGGATTATGGGATAAGAATCTCTTCATGCTCCTTTTTTTGTTTGTTTCTGAAGTACTGGACTGTTAACTCCCTTGCACTTACTGTTTAGGGACTTAGAAGAGGTATTGGTTATTCCTTTTCTGGTGTCTGACTCTATGGGTTAATCCCAAAGTTGGTTCTACCAAATTGTTAAAGTTGAGGTTTCTCATGTAAAAGTAAATGATAAAGGAAACCCTATTTAGTAGCAGGCCTATACCCAGTAAGAACTGTACCTCTACCTTCTTTGTGATTGCTAGAGGCTAGGCATCTACACAGATAAACCTTCATAGTGTTGTACTGAAATGTGTTTGCCTGCCAATCCACACATTATGTGTGAAGCTGCTAGTTCAGGGAGCTGCTTCTTGCTGTAGATTAGAGGATTCAGATGCCACAGATTTAAGAGGTTTAGAAGTTTATTAAGTAACCCAATGAAAAATCTCAAGTTAGAGATAATCTACAAATATATCACTATCAATGAGTTACAATGATATCATAGTATGTTCTTACAACTGTAAAAGAATTCATTTTAAATCACTTAAACTTGTGTATTTGCTATTGAACTGTAACTTGGCTTCTGTTCTCTTTCTAATATTCAGGTTTCAGGCAAGCCTCACTTACTCCCCAGCTTCCCACACTAAGTTTTTTTTTGACACAAACATAATGGAGTGTCCAGCAGATGTTCAGGGTGTACTCTGGATTTGGCTGTGCTGGTTAGTATCGCTGCTAGCAGTCTCAGCCTTATTTGGATTAATTGCTGTGGTCACTTAGGTATAGGTGGCCTAGCAAGATTCTGCACACTGAAGTCTGTCTGCAGCTGGTAGTAAGCAGTAATCGGTCACTGCTGTTCAGATCATGCATTCCCAGATGCTTTTAACACTAGTCTCTTTTTTATGCCATCTTATAGGCTCAATGCTTACTATTGTTCCACTTTGATTTAAAGGAGATTATTTTAAATTTTTCTTTTTTTTTTTTTTTAGCTTGCTGCTTTTTATCCCATGAAAAGGAAAGCGTGTACAAAAATGTAGCATTCTGTAAATACTGACAAAGGAGAAATATATTTATAACAGTTATTTTCTGGTTTCTAATCTGGCTGTATTTAGGTCTTACTGTTGCTACAGGCTGTCACTTGGAAAGCAGCTGATTGAGAAGAGGGTGGGGCTGATCTCTTTGTGGCTAAGATGATTGACAGTATTTTGCTTTTCAGAGTCATCGTGGGTGGGAGCAAAGCACTTCACTGTGGGAAGAGAAGTGGAGCAACAGATACCGACACTGTGAGTATTTTCTCAGTTTTGGCAGAAAGCTAGCATTAGGCTTATTTTCTCTTCACAGCATTCAAGAAAACTGCTGTGTTTTCCATTGTTAGTCTGTTTTTAAGTATGACTTGAAATACTCTATACCACACCCACCAGCAAAACACATCAAAGACTAAATGATAAAATGATAACTGTTGAGTATGGCTTACTTTCATCAATTACAGTGTGCATCGCTAGCATTTAGTGGTGGTTGTGGGGTTATAAAAGATGCTCTACTTAGTTGTTTCCTTCTGCATAAATCTTAGAATGTCACGTGACTGACTCCATCTTCATTTGAAGCACATTTCCGAGGTTCCACAAAAAGATTTTTCTGAATACTTAATGCAGTATGTGTTTGCTTGGATTTAAACATTAATTATCAATTTTATGTCAGTCATTGCTGGAAAGAACTGGCTATGTAAGTGTTCTGGGATGTTGGTACTTAAGTTAATTGTATGTTTATTATTTCAACTGCTTAATTGTTTCAGTTGTCTCTGGAGATTTGTGAGAACCACGTATTTTTTCTTGCAGCATGGAGAAAAATAGTCCCACAGGAAAGTATATGAGACTGTGTAGCTAAGTAGGACAGGTGGTTTAGGATCACTTTGAGTATTTTTTGGAGGGGCAAGTAGTTTGGTACTCTTGCATTTGTTTTTCCATGACATATCCTCTGCTGTATGCCAGCATAATCTAGTATTTTATATCAATTTTCAGAAACTGGGAAGACTTAGATTAGCTGCAAGTGTCTTGTTTTGAGTATGGTACCTGAACACACTTGTATACTGGTAAATGTTGTTGGCTTTTTAATTATAAATAGTTTTTAAGCAGGTCAATGAGTCACCAGTGAAAGACAGTATCATTTAAAAAGGAAGACTCTAAACATGATTTTCATATGTTACTGAAATTTATTAAATGTCATCTAGAAGTGACTTTTAAAAATTCCTTCATTAAATACTTGTCACTTTACTGACAAAGTGAAAATCAATCAGTTTTCCAACATACATTTTGAGCCCGTAGGGCTTACAGAAAGGATCAAATATGATCTTAGAACAGACGTCTTATCACCCAGACTAAGAGCATACAGTGGTCCCAGAATGGACAGCATATTAGTTAGCCACGGGATAAAATATATAAATTATTTGTAATTAAATAATTAAATAAATAATATAGCAGTAAAAATAAAAATGATTAGTTGCTTATTTTTGCATAGATCTCAGAAAGTTGGTCAGTTGTTGGAGAAAATCAGGAAAATTTTTCTTGTCGTTAGCTTCACAGATCTTGCAGTCACCTTCTATGGGATTTAGATCCTGCAATACAGTAGATTTTGTTAATTGGTTATAGCTCTCTTGCCAGATAGTTTTAGAACCATGAATTTATGGCACAGCTTTCTGAACTACTACTTACGTAAATAATTGGTACCCTTCTAAAAACAGTGTAGGGTGACTTACATGATTGAGCATAGAAAACAAATCTCATACTTCTGAAAATGTTGACTTGAATAGTTAATGTGGCCCAACTGTTCTAAAGTCTTGGATTTTCATGCAAACAGATGTTGTCAAGTAGCTTGACATTACAGTATTGTTGTACAAAATGCTGTATTCTTAAGCAGCCATAACACAATGGCCTTAAGGCAAAAAAAAAAAAAAGACTGATTCTGATGTTCTTTTTCATTATTGCTGAAATACATTTGCTTCTAACTAACTGACCATAAAGATTACCTACCCTAAGTCTCTGGAGGTTCTTTTTGATACTTTGAAGAGCATTTTCAACTTCATTTTCAATTTCAGGCTCATCTTCAATTTCTTTCTCCAGAGTAACCATTTCTTCCAGGTAACACTGCAGAGTTTGCCGACTGCACTCCTAATACAGTAATCAAAGTCAACACATATATAAATACATAGAGATATATAGTATTTATATTAAATGTTTTTTGAAAAAGATTGAATTCTTTTTTTCTTAATTGCCCATTATTTTTTTCCTTGTTTCCCTTTGTACAATATCATTTTTTCCCACCAAGTCACATTATAAAATTCTACATGTGGGCTTAGTTCTTGTAGCTTTTGAAATGTAGATGATCTTTACAGGACATTTTAAATGATGGAATATGTCTTGAGAACATGAAACTGCTGTGTTAGCTCTTAAACTGAGCCTTATTTCCAGTTGTTGTCTGGAAATCCTGTCCTAAGAAAAGGATTACTAGTAAAGCCTCTATTTTACAGTGGCAATCTTCAATTAATGCACTTTGGTTCCTTTATGCAATGCCTATATCTGGTCCTATGGTTGAATGTCTTGGAATCACAGAATTGCTTGGGTTGGAGAGGTCCTTATAGACTATCTCCTTCTAACCCTTTGCCCTTGCCAGGGCTGCCTCCCGCTAGGTCATGCTGCCCAGGACAGCATCCTTCCTGACCTTGATGTGGGTACATCACTTTACACATCACTCTTACAAGCTCTTTCAGGCACTTGGTGATAATATGCTATTAAATCAGCCTTACAGGTCTACATTTGAGCACTGGAGCTCTGAGATAGTTACATCTTGATCTTGCCAGCATAGAAGAAAAATGACTCAGATAAGGAAGTGGTTGCAGAATCTGGTTTTAAATCTTTACTCAAACAAAATTTCTGTTAAGTGAGAATTCTGCTGGATTAAAAACTTAATTGGAAGCTCAAAGTAGTTAATTTGCATAAGTGTCTTAACTACTTCCCAGTAACAAACAAATTGATGCTCTTGTTAGCTGCTTGCACACTAAATTAGAAAATTTGTACAGATCAGTAACCTGTGTTACTGTTAATAGTGAATAGACTGTGATAATGGTGTGTTTAGAATGCTCCTGGACTCAGGTATGCAGTATTTTAGAAAAAAAAAAGAAACCACAAAGACGGTGTTGGCATGGAAATAAGTCTTACATATTTACTGAACATCATAAAATAAGAATTCATAGCTATATCTAGGATGAGTTGGTTAAGTTTTACTTCTGGAAAGAGCTAGTTAGAGCATAATTAAATTTCATTACTAATGGGGTATGAGAGATATGTTAAAAAGAACCAGCTACTGTTGCTGCATCTGATTTTGATAAAATAGGGGCATTTTCCTGTGGATATTGCTGTATTTAAAAAGTTTCTAACTCTTCATTCTCCGAATTGTTCTTATATTAGTGTTGATACAACAGTATTGCCTTCTACAAATATTATACAACGTATAATTGATTCACAGAACTCTTTTTTTGTGAATCGAAGGCAAAATAAATATGGAGGATTAGTTTAATGTTTTGTATTGCACAGACCAAGAAAGTAATATCTTTCTTCATTATTCATTATTCATTATCTTGTTAATGCTTAAGAATATAAGTCAAAGGCAGAAGTCTATTTTAGGAAACCTCACACTGAATTCAAACACCTCAGGTTTGCTTTCTATGTTGTCCCTTCTGATAAGTGAATTGTTTTGGTCTAAATCAATAATACATCATTTTAAAGTTGCCATATCTTAGAAGTCCTTTTGAAAACAGAAGGCTAAAACTCACCTGGATCTCATTTGGTGTGTAGAGCTCGAGATGAATCTCCTGTAGAGAAGAGGGAGAAAAAGTTAATTTTTGAGGACAAATGGCATGGAAAAAAATAAGTAGAAAACATGAGCAGAAAAGAACTAATACAGGAAAACCATCACTTACGTTTTTGCTCTTTTCCAGTATTCCTAAATCTTTTATTAATGTTGGAAGAATTTCCAATTTTTCTGATGATAGCGATGCTCCGTAAGCTGTAGTCATAAGCACTGCTACTGAAATGCAGCTGAAGATCAGTACTTTGCACATCATGTCAATGTCCTGATTATCTGTATGCTGGTATTCAAATTGTGATGTACAATACGAGGTGATAAGTTGTCATTAGACTGTTTAGTATTTATACTCTTCTCTCTGGGGGGAAAAAGATGGGGGCGTCATGTAAAGAAGGTTTTTATTACACATTTTTTCATATGCTTTACCTGTATGGCAAGAATCATTACTTTTGTTTTTCCTCCCTGATGACACTTTGGAATTTTTTGACTGCGAGAGGGATTTTACCTACATTCACTGGTGTAAGAGAAGCCCACACTCACTTTTGGCACTCACTCTCTCAGTGTGCTTTTTGCATGAAACACTTTTTCCCTCTTGGGCTGTCCCACTCCCCCATAGAATATGCCATACAGTATACTACTGACACACCAAATGTTCTAAAGATGTTTAAGTTAACCACTGTGTCTACTGGTATATGTTTGTCCTTCTACAAATCCTGTGGCATCATTTAAGCACAGAAGAAAGACATACTCTCACTTTACTAATTGTTGTTTAAACAACAGGAAGAAAGTTGGCTTCCTGTCTGAAGGTGGTTTTACCTGTCATCGTTTGCAAAGACAGTTAAAAGCAGCTTTAGGTGCATAGGTCAGTCTTTCATATGAAACTTTAAAATGTGTATGAAAAAAAATCCATCAGGGTTCTTTGTTTTGGGATGTTTAACCAAGTTTTCTGTTACCGTATGTCGTAATGCCGTTCATTTTTCCTTGTGCATACCTTTTTCTTCTCTCCAGCTTAAGATTATTTATAGATTTTCATACTGATAGCCAAACCGCTGCATTTTGTGGTGCACATTGCAGTACTGAAGTTGAGAGTCAACAGTCATTTCACCTTGGACTCTTGCTTAATATTGCTGCATTGTTTTTCTTTCCTGGTTCAAAGGTCTGTTTGCTCATAATCTTGGAAATCCTGTGAGCAGTGCTTAAAAATCACAGTTTTCTTCACTCTGTGCACGGTTCTGAGCCACACACTCCCCCTGCTGCCCAGAAATCTCTGTCAAAAATGCTTTTTCTGCTCGTTGCATTTTTCTTCTTAAGCCACATGGAATGAATTCAGTTTCTGTACACTGTTGTGGCTCTACATGTTGTAACATTCAGAAGTCTGGGCAGGTGACTGTTTCTTCATCCATTGCTATATCTGGAAACTAGATGTGGAAATCTGTTTTGTACGTTCTGACCATAGAATATATGTGTATGGGGTCAGGGAGAGAAAATTCTGTCCAACCTCAGGATATGCTTTTGCTTGGGTTAGGGCTAATCTATTGCTATACTTGTTTTTTATTAGAGTCTGTGTAACTGTCTGAAAACTGGTGTTAATCATCAGTGTGATCTCAGTACCTGGATAATTGAGTTTTCGTTTCCTAGTTTTGAAATAAGCACAAACATGTAATGTGTAAGGTCATACAGAAGTCTTAGTAGCTATTGTAGTTTACACTACGTAAGTATTATACAATACAACAAGTAGAGGTGCAGTTTGCAACCTTTCCTGGCACTGTGTCTTTTGTCTCACCTATTTATTCCTGATAGCAGTTAATTTCAGATGGGAGTTATGGCTGCAGAGGCGAGCTGCTGAGCTATAGGTGGTGAGGTTTTCCTCTCTAAGAGTGCTTGTACAGTTAGGTCATTTTATGCAAGGATTTGAGGTTTTTCGTTTAACGTATTTTGTACAAAGTGTTAAGAAATACCTCAATACTGTGGTGCAAGACACATTCTTATTGATAATGAAGTTGGAATTACTGCTCACTACTTTCAGTGCTATTTGGTCTTTGCTGTTCTGTAATATTATAGAGACTTCTCACCTGTTTGTAGAGTAATCCCTGGAAATTCACTTGGAAGCAGAGAATTTGAGATTCTGAGTCTGAAGACTCTATGAGGTAGTTTTTAGCATTGATTAGAAGTTGCTCCAGAATATTTGTGGATCTAGAGAGAAGAATGTTTATGTCTTTCTTGTTGCAGAGGATTTTTGTATACTTTTTGTAATACTTGTGCCTAATATAAAAGGCTCATTTTTTAATTCTGGAAACTAAACTAAATGAAATAATGATCCCACTGACTAAATCTCTGGTATGCATTATGCATGCCTTCAAAGTCTGGAAAAGTTTTTACATAGGATCTGATACTTCTCAGTTTTGGCTCTCATTCTTTTGTGTATCTCTAAACTGAAAGCTTGCTTTCTTTTTTGATTTTTTTTATTTTATTTTTTCCTTGCAAACTTGATGACAGGTGAATTTTGGAGAGAAGTTTTGGTTTCATTGAGGTATTAGACATTTTGTTCATCAAGATGCTTGTCTCCTTTCTCCATCACCACAGCAAAGTTGCATTCATCTGGAGTCATCGTGTACCACATGTTTGGTACATTTTAGTTGGTGTGCAGGAGTTTTTCAGACTCCTGCTTCAGTAGCATGCTTTCACAAGATTACTGTCAATGAGAGTCATAGGAACCCCAGTGAAGTTTTTATCTCTTGCAAAGGTGTTAATTATCAACTTGTGATCACAGACTGTTGTTGACTTAACTCTTCAAATGTTTTCCTGGCCCTTTAAATAGAATTTTGAATAGTTGAGATTATATTCATGTTTACAGATCTCATAGTTCTAAGCAATAACCACTAGAAGAATGCCTTTTTCATTAGGGAAATTCATGTAAACGTGTTGAAGTAAAGGTTTGAATAAAGAATTGAGTGGTTCATTTGATTTTAAACCCTCAAAATAGCACCTTCTTTCCTTCTACAGCCTTTTGTCAGTTTTTCTCCTCAGTCAAGCCACAGTAGAGCTTCATGATCTGGCCTCCATTTAAGAAATAGAGAACTAATTCTATAAAAAGAGTTCGGTTGATAACAAAAGTACAGAAGCTTAAAAAAATAAAAGAACTGAAGCGTATTTTAGTACACCACATAGAATGGAGCACTTCCTTCCAAAGTCCCTGTGAACCTAACACTCAAAATCTCCAAGCTATTAGATAGGTGGCTGCTGTATTTTCTGTTGAGCAAGAACAACTGTAACAGTATCAGTTACAACTAATAATCTGTGTCCTAGTTGCAGCACGTTTTTAGTACTAGAACAATTTTCAGATAAATACAAGGGATTACATAAAATACAGGGGAGAGTTGCTGGCTGTATTTATAAGGAAATATAAGAAAAGACAGGAGAGACCATGAAACGATTTTCTTGTATTTCTTGATTCTTATAGGATTACAGTTTTCTGATTCACCAGTGCATGTGATGACATTTTCACTGGGACATAAGGGATGAAGGAAAGTATCTTTTGGATGGCTTGTAGAACAGGAACAAATTAAGCAATGAGTGAAATAGGAAGTCAGAAGTTGCCGTGTTGGATTAGAACAGTGGTTTTAGCTAGATTAATATTGTTCCTGACAAGGGCAAGTACCCACTGTATCAGGTGCAAAGAACACCCAAAGTAAATAATTCTTCAAGGAAAAAATGAAATAATGTTTCCTGCAAGAACGTCAATAACAGCAAGAAAGCTTTTGGCTTTACAAATTTAAAAGATCTGAAAATAATTGACAGTTGGGAATGTTTCCTCAAAACCTGTTTTGAAGTCATTTTTCATTGAAATGATCAACATCAGGATGGACCAGAAGCAGTTCCAATAGTTATAAACTAGCTTTTCCTTAAAGAAAGTAAATTACCAGATTTATTGTTGGTAGCAGTATGTTCTGAACATCCATTTCTATTGGTATATGACATGTGGACGAAGATGATGGAAATTGAGGATCTCCAGTGATTAGGAAAAGGCAAAAGCAACAACCAAAACAAAAGATTATGAGCTAGAGTGGTCAGTGTCACCACAGTCCCTGGGCTGATAGGAAATATGTGAAGCTGAATAGGAGTCTTGCACCTGGAACAGAATAGCATCATGCAACTGGCTGGGGACTGACTGGTTAGGGAGCTGTTTTGCCATTAGCAAGGTGGGAATTCCTGTGGATGAGTTGAAGAAGTCAGCACTGTGTTTGTATCGTTTCTAGAGTTGCTGTGTAGGGTTTCCCTTCTCAGAGATGCTCAAAAGCCATCAGGTTCTGGGTGACACTGCTTGAGCCAGTTGGCCTCCAGTAATCTCTCCGAACTTCAGCCATTCTGTGATGAAGATTAATGGCATAGCGGGCTGCATTAAAGAGCTTAGTCAGGAAATGGAGGGAAGTGGCTGTCCCATGCTCCATGCTGTTCTCCTGTGGCTACATCTCAGGTCATGTGTTCGGGGCACCTAGAACAGAAGAGACACTGATAAACTGAACAAAGTCTAATGGCTCAGAGATACCACTATGATGGATAAGAACCCATAATGTCTGGGGGGCGGTTGAGGGAATTGAAGTTTCTGAGATTGAACAGAAATTCATATTCTCAGTCTCTAAAAGGAGATCATAGAGAGCATGGAGTGGGGCTCTTCTTGGGGACATGCTACAAAAGGACAGAAAGAACAATCTCAGGTTGCAGGTAGAGGAATTCTGAACTCACAGTCGAAAAATACTCAAAAAGAGTGTGTTTGCGCAGGAATTATGTGGTTATCTAGGTGGTAATTTAGATGGTTATCTGTGGGGGTTGTGTGATCACGGTATCATCATAGAATCATATAATTGTTTGAATTGGAAAGGGCTATTAAAAGTTATCCAGGCCAACTCTCTTTCAGTGAGCAGGGCACGTTCAGCTAGATGAGGGTGCTCAGAGCCCCATCCAGCCTGACCTTAAATGTCTCCAGGTATAGGACATCCATGACATATCTGGGCGACCTGTGCCAGTCCTCATCACCCTTGCTGTAAAATACTTGTTCCTTATGTTCAATATAAATCTCCTCTCTTTTAGTTTGAAACCATTTCATACTGTCCTGCATCACAGCAGCTCCTGCTGAATGGTCTGTCCCTTTCTTTATTATAAGCTTCCTTTAGATACTGAAAAGCAACTCTCGTATCTCCCTGAGGACTTTTCTTCTGCAGGCTGAATAGCCCCAGCTCTCTCAGCCTGTCCTTGTAGGGG